CAAGAGTTTTGGCATCTCTTTTGGTAACTGAGTTTAACAAATTGCTGTATTAGCTGTGTGATCTTGGCCTAGCTGTTTCCCCTCCTAGACTCTCAGTCTTGTTTTTCTTGTAGAATGGAGTTACTATATCTCTCTCAAGATGTTAAAGAGGAGATTGAATGGTGGAAGCTAAAAGAACTTTGTGGTTATATTAGTTGTTATAAAATTAAACCAAGGGTCAACTAACTATGGCCCTTGAGCCAAATCCAACTCTTAAGCTGTTTTTGCAAGTGAAATTTTATTGGAATACAGGCACACCCATTCTTAATATTATCCATGGGTGTTTTTGCAATACAACAGCAGCATTGGGTAGTAGTGACAGAGACTGGGTGACCTGTAAAAGTCTAATATATTTACCTTCTTGCCACTTAACAAAAACTTTATTGACCCTTGATTTAAAGGATTAGTGGAAAGCATTTGCTAGATGAGGAAAATGAGCCACAGAACTGTTATGAATGATGTAATATTACTGGAAAAACAACTCGATGTTAAATTTATAATCTCCAGAATGAAAACCTAAAAATATGTTGATGTTAAAGAATGCCTGTTGTAATAAATTTGAATGATATATACAAGTATAAAATTGCTTATAATGATAAGATATTCCTGTATAGAAGCAATGTATTGGCCATACTGCTATATGATCTCTTAAGTCTTTTCTTGTAAATGTATCTTTTCTTTGTATGCAATTTAGTTGATACTTAATACATTATTTTTATCTTTTCAGCCTAGCATTTTTGTCATAAGAATTTTCCTATGTCATTTAAAATTTTGTGTGCGTCTCATGTGGGGCAAGGACATTATTCTGTTCATTGCTGTTTGCCCAGCACAAAGGGATACCTGCCATAATGTAGATGCTCAATACATGTTTTCTGAATGAATGGATAGTAGATTTTTTTGAGTTTCACTGTTATAGGAAATAGAATATTTTAACAAATCATTGGACATTTAGCATGTTTCCAATTTTTAATATTTTACGTAGTACTGAAATTACTATTTTTATATATGTGATTCAGATTGGTAAGTGACTTGGTTAAATGACTCTGCATAGCTAGTGAGGTAAATATTTTCTAGTTCATTCTGTGTCTGCAAATCTGTCTTGACCCAAGGGTATGACTCATTTAAAAGTTAATATCATGGGTTGTGGAGTTAGACAGCCCAAATTGAACATAAATAACTTATTAGCTGTGTAACCTTGGCGAGCAACTTTACCTCTCTGAATGGTAATTTTTGGCATGTGTAAAATGGTGATGAAGTCATCCAGGCCACGTGTACGTAGTGGTTAAACAAATGTTATCTAGTTCAACATTACTGTCACTGTAAGATTTAATTTCTTTGTATTTCTATCTTAAAATAACTGTTACTTGACTCTTATTTGGTGACTTTGGAGATTGGGGGATACATGGTACATGGAATGCCTCCTTTTTTTTTTTTTTGCTAGAAAGGTCTGACTCTGAACAGGTGCCCATTGGCCCCAAAGACAGCCAACAAAGCTGAGAGACTTTCTCCTGTCATGCTTTATGTTGAACTTTGTGTTTCAACTCCCTCAGCTCTGTGAAGTTCAACAGAAATGTGAACAAGTGCAATGCAGGAAAAACGATGTGTGAGCTTGTACATAGTAACTTATAAAGAAGCATACAAATGACTCGCTGTTGCTGCCAGGTGCCTTGGGTGTCTGTGGCCTTCACGAGGGCTTCTGGTTGTGATGTCTTTGCTTCTTAGTGTATGATTTACAATAACTCTTTAACTCTGTTACCATTTGCCTGCCAACCTCTGAGACTCCTAGTTATCATCTGACTATTGCTCTTAGGGGCACTGACTAAATGAACTCTTATTAAAGGGGACTGGCTGAAGAGAGACTTTGAGATTTCATTGGCCTGCATGGTCATTGTCCTGGTTGAATCTGTCATTTTGAAAGCTGGGACTTGTGGTAGTGAGAAGAAGAGCCAGTGCTCCCAACAGCTGAGGCTGAAGTTCTTTGGAGGCTTTGTGAAGAAATCCATTGTGGGGGCTCTTCTGGGAGTCTATTGTTGGGAAAGAACAGTTGCTTTGGAAGCTAAGATAGCAGAGTATGTGGTGCCTGCCAATTGCCAACTCTATTGGCCCCACTCAGTACATTGTCTCTTTCATTAGAAAAACTGGTGAAAGTACAGTTTAGGATGAAATTTTTGATTGTGCTTTCAGATTTCCCATTACGTGTGCAGGGGGCCTTTCCCCAGCAAGTTTTTCATGAGGACTCCAAGAGGTGACCCAATAGCATTAACCCTGTTGTTGGTACCAGTTATTTAGCAGAGTTGACAGTGATTCCCAGAGTGCATGAGGAAAGCTTGAGACTTCTCTGAAGAATACCTTTCCTGGATGATCATTTCAGGGTGGATGCTGAACACCATGTACATTGGGGACAAGTAAGAGGGGATAAATCACTGCTTTGACCATGAAATTTGTCACTGCTATATATCAAGACAGCTGTGCTTTCAATTGAAATTCACTAGCCTTTTCTGTATGTTTAAGGCTCAGTAACCAAAGAGAATCCCAGTTGTTTTAGGGAGTCATGTGTCTACTTCAGATTTGAGTTTCATCTTTTATCTATGGGATCTTGGCAATGTTCCTTGAGCTTGCTGAGCCTCTGTTTTCCTTATCTGTAAAATGGAGAGTATGATCTATAGGAAAAGGTTGTGAAGAGTAGATAAGACAACATATATGTCAGAAACTATATGTAAACAATTTAGCTTAAGGTCTGGCCTATAGTTGGTGCTCAGTAATTCGCAGTTGTTATTGATTGTACTAGGAAGGTGGTAGAAGCTCATTTGTGGAAGCAATTGTTGACTTGAAACCACAATTTTCTAATTAACTACAAAAGGAAAATGGAGAATCATAAAATGTTAGTGTTGGCAGGTACGTTAGAGAATGTCTATTTCAGTTTTTTCTAATACAATTTTATACCAGAATCACCTTGGGATCTTGTTGATTCAGAGTTTCAGAACCTATCTTACACCAAAAGAACCAGGTCTAAGAACCTGAATCTCCAAGAAAGTGTAGGTCCCCAGCCTTTTTAAGAATATTTTTATGTATTTATTGAGAGGTAGAGTTACAGAAAGTAGGAGGGCAGAGAGAAAGTTCTTCCATCCGCTGGTTCACTCCCCAAATGGCCGCAACAGCCGGAGCTGAGCCAATCTGAAGCCAGTAGCCGGGAGCTTCTTCCATGTCTCCCACGTGGGTCCAGGGGCCCAAGCACCTGGGCCATCTTCCACTGCTTTCCCAGGCCACAATAGAGAGCTGGATCAGAAGAGGAGCATCTGGGAATTGAACAGGCACCCATGTGGGATGCTGGCACCACAGGTGGAAGCTTAGCTCATTACACCACAGCACCCAAGGTCCCCAATTTTTACATGGTCATCAATGAGCATATTGGATCCCTAGGATATATTTTATGCTTTTTCAAACTGTACTGCTTGCATCCTTAATGTCTTCCATCCACCAAAGCTCAAATGAAGCAGCTGTTTGTATTGAGTATCCATGTAAGAATTTGCTTGAAGATTGGAATTTGCAAATTTAAAAAGAGAAACTGATAATTTTAGAGTGCTTACTAAATAATAACTGTTCTGAGCACTTTACATACATGAGAGAGAGATGAGAGAATACACACACACCCCGGTGTCAGGGTCTCAAGCCCAATGCTAGCCCCTGACCAGCAGGGGCAGCGCAAGCACTCCACCAAGGGGAGAGGTAAGGTCGCTGGGTCATGAACACACCACAAGCACCAGTGAGTTCTTTCAAAGCAGGAACTACTTTATTGAGGAAGCCTACAGGCTTATAAAGCTTAGGAAGGAAGGACATGCGCAGTAGGAGAGCCAATCAGTAAAAAGGTCATGCAGGCACAGGTGGACCACGCACAGGGCACCTTAAGTATAGGGATCATGCACTGTCCTCGTGTCCAAACTAAAGGGGACCTATCCCTGCCTAGGCAGCCACAGGCATGCCCCTGGAACATCCACCAGGCACCGTATTGTAATGGAGATTTTAGGCAATGCCCAACATTTCCCCCTTTTTGTTTTATATTAAAGAGAGAAAGAGGAACTGAGCAGAGAGTGTGCCTGTCTTAGGTTGTCCCCTCTGACTGGAATTAGCCCTTTAAGGAGCATGTCTGTCTTAGGTTGTCCCCCTCTGGGGACTTTGACTACTACTCCAGCTGTTAGGGGCTGCCCCAGGGGATCTTACCCATCATTGGCTACCACCTCAGCAACTCAGGGTATGATGTATTACACCTCTACATCTTGGCAGTGGCTGTGGGTGGATGTATAGGGTTCCCAATCTGGCGCTTAAAGAGCGGCATAACCAGGTTCCTGAAGAGTGGCATATTGTTGTCGGACCACCATTAACTGGACCTCAGCGATGCGTTCTTAGACAAATTTGCAAGGACAATGGAGACCAAGGGGCCCACAAGGGGGAGGAGATAAAGAAGCTATCCCTCAAGGCCCGACCACAGGTAACTAGAGCTTCAAGGTCTTCTTGGAGGGGTCTTGATCTTGTCCTGGAGGATGCCGGAGTGATTAGCATAAAAGCAGCACTCCTGCTGTACCTGGTAGCTTTGGGATCCACATGGAAGGAAGGCCTATACTTCCGGGAATGGAGAAGTCCCTACCTGTACTAGCGGGGAAGAAAAGTCCTTGTCAAG